GAGTCAGGATCTTTCCTTAGCTACACAAAAGACAGAAGTACCTCCATCATGATTCCAGAGCAAGGAAGTAATCAACACAACTAGAATAGATGGGACTTGTAACTCACCATTTAGCATAACCTTTCAAAAACCCTGGATGATTAAATCATATGCTACCACCTGCTGGCAGAATCTCTCACTGCAAGAGAAATACATATCCAGCAAAATTAATCAGTGATTTTCTTTAATTTATTGTAAAACTCTGAAAAAGAAATGCCCACAGTCAGTAAGAAAGGAAGATGCCATTTCTATAGTGCATGTGATCAAAAGAATCAGATGACAAACACTGTTTCTCAGCCATGGGGGTACAGAGGTCTTTCAGGGGGTACATCAACTCATCTAGATATTTGCCTAGTTTTACAACAGGCTACATGAAAAGCACTGGAGTATAGGCTAGAATTTCATACAGTCAGCTTGTTTATACGGGTCTATATAGCTATATACTGAAATGCAAGTACAATATTTATATTCCATGTGAAAGTAAGCAATGGCAGTAATAGTATACTGTGACACTTCTGTATTTGTCTGATTTTGTAAGCAGGTAGTTTAAGTGAGGTGAAACTTGAGGTATGCAAAACAAATCAAGACTCCTGGAAGGGGCATAGTAGTCTGGAAAGGTTGAGAGCCACTGGTCTAGCAGATAACCACCATTCATGTCCTGACTGTCCCAGACTTTTTAGCTGATCTTAGGTGAGTTATTTAGCCTCTTTAAACATTCCACCACTTTTGAAATAGGACTAGTGATGCTTACCCACCTTTGTAAGTTGTGGGGACATGAAAGTGAGAATGCACTGTACATGTGGGAAGAACGCCTATTATTCGTGGTTTACAAATACTAACCATTCCTCAACTAGGTAAGCAGATTCTGCTTCCAGAAACACTTCCAAAGGCAATTAATTCAAGGAGTTGGATTTAATAGTGGATAGCGTGCAGGTTTATGAATAGCAACTAGATGCAGTCTTTCAAGTTTGTTAGTCAGGCTAATGCTTTTCTCTAAAGTCCACCTCTGGCTAGCCGAGGGGAGGGGCACACATGCAGTTCAGAAAACTTGCATGCTATTGGATTTGGAGCTCTTCTGAACAATCTGCAAAGATTAGATTTCACTCCGGAAGATATCTAAATGTTCTGAGCAGTGCCACAGGTTTTCAGCACCTCTCTCTTCCCACTTTCTACAGCCTGCTTTAGAACTGAAAGTTTTTACAAAACCTTCTAAGGCAGCTCCATACTAAGGCGTTGTGCTGGGTGCTGTAAATCCAACGTGTTAGTTGCTGAATCTTGTTTCAGAAATTAAATACATCTCTAGCCTGCAGCAACTAGCTAGTAAAACCACAGCCAGAGATTATGGAAATCTTACATTAGGCAGAGTTAAATGGGGACTATTACTGAAGCAAAACTACCTAGACATGCAATTTGCTTTAGTATTTTACAGCTTTCAAGATTTTCATGTTACCTCATTTTAGCTTTTCTATGTTGTATTGTGACATTTCAATTTGTGACTATAGATGCATCAGATATAGGATTATAACTTCAAAGCAGTATCAGCTAATGAAGATGAGATATTCAAACAAATAGCGTCACCAGAAAATTACTTCCATAGTTACATTTGCAGTCTCTTCACTTTTCATCAGTGCAAGTGGTTTTTTTTGTTTTGTTTTTTTAAATGCAACCAATGCTGCTTCTTCCCTTAGAATCATTCCAGTGCTTGTGTGTATAGAAACCTCAAACACTACAAGTCTGCTTTCAAGTTTTCCATCTGTGGAAGGCTGGCTGATCACATAAGGCTACTCTCCCTTACTTTTAAGTGCTAAATCACATTAAAGAAAGCTGTAATTGCCACCGGGGTTTTATTTGATCATGAATGGGAAGGAAGGCCATATTAGAATGTAGTCCATAGTAGGCAAGTCTGGAAACCCCCACTCTAAAACAAACTTAATTATGTACAATAAAATCTGTCCTGGGATGGTGCTCGTGGTGCCACCTACTTACATACATGCCTTTCCCTTGCATCTGGTGCAGGGACTATCAATGCGAAGGAACAGATGCTTTAGGCCTGGTGTCAATCGTATTGGATCATGAAATAAACTGAATATACTCCAATACATAAGACAACCTTAGCCTAAACTGAGAAGTCATCCAGAGACATTAAAATATTCTTCCATTTCAGAAGTAGGATCACATCAATGAGGTGCTTTATGAGGTTAAAGCAAGCACACCTACTGCAGATAGACTACTGGATAGAACTATACACATGTTAATGGCTGATTTTTGTAATTACACTTGGGCTCCATAAGCCACAAACAAAAGAAAATAACTAAATTAGTGAGCTTAAAACTAGAGTGAACCTCATTCAAGGGAATACCTATCACCACAGCTTTGATGTTACATCTACATTTCAACTATTTCCAGTCTGGAGGGTAACAACACAAAAGCAAGGAATTCAGGAAAACGATGGTATATCTTAAGGTGATCCCAAGAGCTTTATGAACATCAAGCTGTAAGATTGAAAACTTGCAATGGGAACTGCATCCATCACCACTAAATAGCACAAACAGGTATCCCCATGCTTACAAAAAAATGAGAACTTGTTTTTAGGAATACTTAATGTCTTCCAATTTTCTTTTAGGAATCCTTTTAACACCAAAACCATTATTTTGCATTTACCAGTCTACTGCTACTCTTAGGTTATTCAACTCAAGCACTATGAATAAGGTTAGTTTTCCATCTTAGGCTCAGTTTAGGATTCTGCAGTGGAAGACTTCCATCGATCCAGTTATTTTTAATACAGTGATTGCACTGATGTCCAGGACACAAAGAAAGAAATCTGCAAGCTGTATACTTGATTATACTAAGGAAAACTATATATTTAATGATTAAAAATGTAAAGATGTTTGTTCTATTCCAACAAGTCTATTCAAGTTTTAGTGCAAGACCTGGTCTACACTAGAAAATTAGGTCTATTTAACTATGCCAGGTTGGGGTGTGCAAAATGCACACCCGAGTGGTGCTGTTAAATCGACCTAAGTCCCTGTGTAGACAGTGCTGTTAGCCAGTGCATACCCAGTACCAATCCCTGACAAAGTTGCCCTGATCTATTAAGCTGTTTTGGATTTTTTGAGTTAGTAATTTGTTTTATGAGTTATAGGATGGATTGTCTCAAATCATGATGTTCCATTATAAGCCTGCTTCTTAGAAAATTAACAGCTCCTGTGCTGTTCCCTTTAATTGCTTAGAAGAATGTATAGCTGTGAAATTGTTTAACTTCCTCTAATTGCTTAGTAGATGGGTGTATAATTCTTTGTGTGAGTGAGGCATGCAAGGATGTGAGTAGGAGTCATCCTGTCCTGTCATGCCAGTGTCATACTGTCCTGATGGCCTGAAGGAGTGCAGATTAACGACCTTGAAGTGCGAGGCATCTGCCCCAAACTAAGAACCAAGTCTCTAAGGTGCCACAAGTCCTCCTGTTCTTCTTTTTGCGGATACAGACTAACACGGCTGCTACTCTGAAACCTTTCAAGTATAAGATAAGGAGCAGCTGTGTAAATACCAGCACCTAGTTTGTGATTGAGGATCCAAACATCACTGATGAAAGATGACCAAGAACAGCAAATTTGCAATTAACGGCTCCCAGCTGACACAGCAAAATCCATAGACTTACATGAAAAACAACTACTATAAAAGTGGGCGAGAGCTAGGAGGCTTTGGGTCACTGCAACAATGAAGAATCGGACATGTTCGACGGAGGCCCAGCTCCCCCTACTTGTGTTTAGTCTAGCTGGCCGCTAGGCTGACTCGAGCAACAATAAGGACTGGTAACTAGAACACCAGATGCAAAACCTTTGTGTGCATGCGTGCTTGTTTGAATATATGCATATACTTACTGATTTTTAATACTTGTTTAGCATTTTAAATAAACACAGCCTATTGCCTTGTCCCCTGAAAAAGATTCGGTGAGTTTTTATAAGCGTTACAGTGCTAATCAATGGAAGGCTTCTTCCCTCAACCTAGATACCACCTCTTGGGGAGGTGGATTACCTACGCCAATGAGAGAACCCCTCATATCAGCATAAGTAACGTCTACCTTGAAGTGCTACAGCAGCGCAGCTGTGCTACAAGGAAGCCTGCTTCACGTTTTCTGGTACTGTTTGAAATGAGCTGTCTCTTCTCCTGTTATGGCATTAAAAAAAAAATCCACTGTATCTTGGGGGTACTTAGACTTTGAAGAATGTGACCGATAACTTGATACTAATCCAATTTTTGTTGCTGCCTGCTCTGTTTATTTGTGGGAGACTGAGATCTCAGGGTTTTTTGCCATTCTGGAATGGGTTCAACAGTCCCAGAACCTCACAACTCTAAATTTGCACAGCTACATTGAGAAGGCATATAAATTTGCATTCTTTTAAACAAGCTTTAACAAAAAGATTAATTGGAAAACCTAGGAACAAATTGATTAACTGTCCAGTGTACTTATTTCCTGGACTAGTAAAAACTTTTATAAGATTAGGATTTAGATTTCAAAGCACACAAGCTACTTTACTATTCCCTGGGCACTGTCTTCATAGCAATTTGCAAACCATCTTTCATCACCTAACCTTAAGGTAAAACAATCCACATTAACAACCCTAGGCACTAGATATTCATACTTCCGAATAAGAGGTGGCCCCAGTCATAGGCTATAATACTGTGCAGTTCAACATTCCAGAACTTACACAGAGGATATGGGGGCATTTTGGAGTAATTGGCTATAACTTGTTTCTTGTTGAATTGGAATTAACAGCTTGGTAGAATTAGAAAACTGTAAGCAGAGCAGAATAGATGCCAAATCTAGAACTGGCTCAATTACAATACATTTTACAGTGTGTGGAGTATACCATTAGGTCTTAAGTGTTATTCACTACAATATGTTATCAATAAGTGTTCCCAAAGGAAGTGTTCCAAACCATTAATACTGAATGCAAACAGAGTCCATTTGAACAATTTATTAGTATGCCTGTTTTACAAGTTTTAGAAAAAGAATCCCAGGATTTTGCCTCCTGTGTGTTTTCGCCTTGCTTCCTCATGGTCCATGATGCCAGCGGAAGTTGTCAGCACTATGTACCTATTAAGTAAAAAGTATTTTCAGTAGCATATTATGGTAGATTTCCCTACCACTCATACAGTTAGAAAAACGGTCCAATCTCATTTTTGTAGTGCAACGTCTCACTTTCTTTAGCCAATGCAAGGAAATGTGACAACTTAGACTACAACAGTCCTAATGTAAAATAGTTATACAAACCCTACAAATATGCTATTTTGACATGCTTGAGAATTTAAAATTGTACTAATGTCAAATTTAAATTTGACTATATGCTCTTTAAAGCAGACTTCTCCACAAACTTTATCTACACCAGGAATTTTCATTTGACATTCCCGTTAGCATTGTAGAACTGAACAAGTGTTAGCAGGGTCATAAGCCCCAACTTTGCGGCTGGCCCATGTCGCCATTTTCAAACCCATGTCAATTACCTGCTCATAATAAGTGTACGGTTGCTATTGCCAGATTGCTAACTGAAAACTTCATATGGTAGGACTCCTAAAGTTGCTCATGCTGCTAATACTTTAATATTAGTACTAAGCTGCAGACAGCTGAGGTAACTTTAGTTATTTCTAACACCTATCTATGGTAATTAGCATGCTTTCTGGACAAAAGTTGACTGTCAAGATTAACCTCACAAGAGTTTCTATTTAATTCACACAAAATATGCTGAAGTATATGTACTAGAATACTACAGCAATGTTTAGCTACAGTTAACTGTTTATAGTAACTGTACATTTTGCGATGCATCTTTCCTTGCTTTGGTGTGTCTGTTCACTTATTCACAAGATTCGGTGTCAGTGGGATTCTACTATATTGATTTAATGTAACAGCCAAGGCCTCTATTAAAAGGAAGTCCTTAGTTTGATATCTAGAGAATTTTTTTAAAAAAAAAGACCTCAGTCACTTCTGATACTACACCTATACCCAAGTACTGTTAATTTGTATTTTTATTACAACTTTCTTTTTAAGTGTTTCTACAGAATTAAGACCAACAGTTGGAGGGAGAAGAGTGAGAATGATGTAGATCAGGGGTAGGCAACCTATGGCACGCATGCCAAAGGCGGCACACGAGCTGATTTTCAGTGGCTCTCACATTGCCCGGGTCCTGGCCACCGGTCCGGGGGGCTCTGCATTTTAATTTAATTTTAAATGAAGCTTCTTAAACATTTTAAAAACCTTATTTACTTTACATACAACAGTAGTTTAGTTATATATTATAGACTTATAGAAAGAGACCTTCTAAAAATGTTTAAACATATTACCGGCACGCGAAACCTTAAATTTGACTGAATAAATGAAGACTCGGCACACCATTTCTGAAAGGTTGCCGACCCCTGATGTAGATGAAATTGACTACATGAAGTCTTGTCAGATGCACAAACTGAAAAACGGAGACGGCTGTCTCTTGGTGCTAACTTTTAGCAGTAGTTAAAAAATGCTTATATAAAAACTGTTTAAGTGTGTGTCCCCTTTCTGAAGAAGAGATCAGAACAGAGATCTTCAAAACAATGCTAGTTTCATTTATGAAATTACCCTAAGAGGTTTTCTTTTGCACCAACTACTTTCACTTAGGAGAACTGCTATGAATTGTTCTATTTGTGAATTTCAACAATTTAACTCTGCATATCTGGCACTTACCCAAACTGACGTGAAGGCAAAAGGTTGTTCTGCCACTTTTCCAGGTCCTTCAACTGAACATCAAATCTGGGACTGATCACACCACACTATAAAACAAAACCCCAACAGAAGCTGAAGAACTTTGATACAGGAGGACTACTACATATATTTCTTCCATTGTTGTACGCAGTGTAATTGTAGCCCTATTGGGTCCCAGGTTATAAGAGAGACAAAGTGGGTGAGGTAATGTTTTATTGGACCAACCTCTGTTGATAGGAGACAAAAGCTTTCAAAGCTACATGGAGTCTTCTTCATGTCTGGGAAAGAAAATTGTTGTAATAAGTCATAAATCCATCTATAACCCATTAACACGCACTCCCCTTTTCAGCCTATGATTGCAGAGGTGTTAACAGGCCATCCTCCCTTGAATGGTCCATTACAATCTGTTCCACCATGCATTTTACTGTAAATACCTTACCCAGACCTGAAGAAGAGCTCTGTGTGGCTCGAAAACTTGTCTC